ATGCTTTTAGATTTCTAGTTATCTAAATGTATTTCTTTCATCTATTTTGTTGCTTCTGATAATTAATTCTTCCTACGGTTTATGCATAATATGCTCCATATGCTACTTTTCTTTACTATATTCCAGTGCAAAACTTCCAGAGCTGATATCAAGAATTGCACTAGAAAAAGCAATATAACAATGATCATTGTGCTGATTCTTCAATTTGAGCTAATACCCTCCATGGGATGATGCTCCCCTTTCTTAATCCCAATCTGCACATAAATTTCTCTGGATGCAACAACTCCCAGATAAACTAGTCACTCTCGTCTCTCATTTTCCTCCAGAGAAATCTGAATTTACTGTATAAAAGCCCCTTGGCTAGGATCAAGGACCAAAATCTCTTATCTCATTGCTGTATTGAGACTTACCTCTGTGGGAACCCAGCAGAGAAACCAAGTAAGATATTGGCATTAACTAGAGTTGTCAGTGTGAGAGAATTGCTGTACTGAGATCTTTTAGTTTAGCTGGTGTAATATTTCTTATACACTGCAGCTTCTGCTCAGCTCTAAGAGAAGCATTATTCTGTCTTCTTTCAAAGTGTTTTTAAGCAGTGAGAAATAGAAGACAATCTGCTGGAGTGTGAAACTTGTCAGTCAGGGGACATTATAACCACACCTACCAAAATGCTGTGTGTTTATATCTTATTTACTCAACCAGACGTTCTCCAGGTAGACAGATAGCTCCTTATTTTGGGATTAAAACAATGAAAATATTACATGTAAACATTATAAATAAATTAGAAATCACATTAGACAATTCCAATAAATTGGCTAGTAAAATGGAAACATGTTCTTTGTAGTTTAGTTTCTTCCTCAACTATTTTCTCTTTAAATGATTAGAATGCTTTTTTTGGTCAGCAAGTGGTTTCCTGGTTTCCACTCCCTGTAAACCTTTTCATTCTTTTTTCTCCTTTCTTATAATCCTCTCTGCCTATAAGTACCTCCCTATCTTGTTCTCCTTTTTAAACCAATATCCTACACCTCTGGGGTTTTGTCACTGTTCTCTTCTGCATCTCTCATTAACTGTTTCTTCATTCATCAGAAAGGATTACAAGAAAGCAGGCAGGCACACAGTGGGAAATACATATTGAAAGGAATGCAGTAGTGCTGGCAGCCCCAAACCCATTAGGCAAACAACTTATTGTTCCCCATTGTGTGCCTACTTAGTCTCTGTAATCCCTTACTCTCCAAACTCTCTACTCTTCAAGATGGTGGAAAATGGGCCAACCACAGAATAATATGCACTGACTATAATGACAATTATGTGACTGGGGGAATGCTGTGAAGATTGTAAACATGTACCTTGGTAACAAAATTATTTTTAAGGTCTGTTGTAACTTCCAACAGTTGCTTCATGGTGACGTAAATCTATTGTATTTTTATTGCTGTTTGTAAGTTGCCTAGAACACTAGGGAGTGGCTGGTCTAGATATTTAGAAATAAAATAATAAATTGCCTATCCCAGTAGTTCAAAGCCACCTTTTCTGAAATTTTAGAAGTTTTGACACTGTAATGTCCCATATAGAAGAAAATTGGACTACGATAAAATCCACAGCTTAGTTTATTGACTCCTGCAAGATTTTATTTCATTCTACATTTTTTTTAAATAACACAAACGCAAACGTGGATAGGATGGCAACATTTTACAGTATAGATCAGTATTCAGCCCACCTGCCAGCAACAATGACCAGCATGTAGCCTGGCAAAAGGTTTGCCATCCTGAGAGATAGTTGGGGAGCCAGTCACAAAATAAGATTAAAAATGGGCAGCAAATTAATGCACTTTCCAAAGCAAGCAGTAGTAGAGAGTTACACCAAAAAGCAATCATGCAGGAATAAAACACAGTATTTTTTTTTTCAAAAATGACATTTCTGAATTTTGTTTTGCCATAAGTTCCAACTTATTGGAAACACAAGAAATATAAAATATTTTAGGTTTAAAAATACGAATGGACTCCTCCTATTAAGAAGGTGAAATTGATCTTTTTGGACCCTTTTTCCTCTCAACTTTTTTCTATACTAAATAGTTTATTTAAAATGACTTTGAACTCAGTCTGATGTGATAATTATTGGATTGCAATTAAATTGACTATTAAAGTAATCCTAGAAAGCTGTAATCCTGATAATTTAATAATGAGTGTAATGTGACAACTTTTTGTAGATTGAAAGAATTATCTTGCCACTCCATGAAATGAAGAATTGAACAGTAGCCCTAGATATGACTCTAAACTGTATAGTCATCATAGTTTATAAATGCAATGAAATTATTTCACTCTTCACTTTTGCTCAAGCACACTTTTCAAGCCCAATGGCCAAGAGGTGCCTTGAGTCATGATAAGAAAAAGGCAATAAAAGTACATTTGGCTCTTCAACTATAAATAGTCAAATCAACATTTTTCCTGTTGATCTAGTAACTTCATTAGAGCTCCATTATGACAATTTCTTAACAGACTACTTATTGAAAATGCCCTCAGAACCTTTAAAAGAAATGTTTTTGCCATAATCTGGAAGTTAATCATTCTGCATAAATTAAACACAATGAAACATCGTAATAAAATAGGTAAATAACATTTCACTACCACACTATAATAACAGCCAATTGATGATCGCACTAGCTTTTCAAGTTCAAAATTGCTTAAGCAGTTGAAGGGTTCAACTATGATTGATAGATTTCCCTCCCAAGTATAAAAAAAGCTGATACCTTTTACAAAGGATGTTACACAGAAATTGTCACCCGATTTCTTCTCTTTCAAGACATAAGCAGTCACTATGAAGGAATCCCCATTATGTGTGTCTACAGCAAGGAGGGAACAATACTATTTTTTTTAATTTAGGTGAATAAGAAAAAAGGTCAGATTGCAATAATCGTGAGGAAATCATAAATGGGTTTATTTTGTCACATGTAAAAACTTATTTCTTGAAAGAGAGTGTGGGGTTATGAGGTGTGGGGTTTTTTTTCCTTTGAAGAAGCTTCTGTGGATCAAAGATTTCTCCAAATAAAAGGAGACTGAAGGATGCTATGCAAGTTTCCAGACCTTTGTTTTACAGACGTAGTAGTCTGAATTCCTACTTATTCCTAGTAATGAAGTACTAAAGTCCAAGTAATTCCTATATATTTTACTATATTTCTTCAAGGATGCATCATTGAGATGATAATGGATTCCTTTAAGGTTATGGTTGAATAGACTTGGCAGCAGGCAAGGTAGACCTCACCCATTTCCTGACCTTCTACATTTTGCTCAGGCTGCCTTCCACTTCATGATCCTTCCCAATAAGATGTACTGAGCAGGCTTGGAGCAGACTTCTTTTTCTGTTCTTGAGACTTGAGACCTGAATGTTTTGACACAGAATAGAAACAAGCATGCTTGGGCTGACGCCCATCTACTCTTTCAAGTGATTTCTAGATGGTTGGCTATCAGTTTGCAGCAGCCAAAAAGGAACAAAAATCTATTATAGTCAACTGTAGTCTAGGAGAGTTAAGCTATAATCCATATCAATCTTTTAAGATGCTACCAGATACTTTCATGTTTTTAAAAATAAATACTATCATCTCTTGGTTTATAAAATCTCACTTTGATGTCTATAAAATTCTCCTGCTGCAAATGTATAATATAGCCACAATTTTCCTTCCAATTATGAGCTCTTTTACATAAGAAAGGGGAGGGGAGAAATCACAAATGAAAGCAATTAGTTTTTAAGTCTATTTTGCACAAATTTAAGCTGACCGTTCTTTCCTGAAATAAATTATTTTATACAAGAAAAACACATCATAAAGTCTCCATGTATAAAACTATGTGATCAAAGAGGAACATTCAAAGGAATATTGAAGAACAAAAGGAATCATCAGTGTCTTAAAATTCAGACATCAAATGTAGGCAGGAGAGCCTTGTTTCCTGAAGTAAACAATTTCCATTTTTGTTAATTATATTGCTTTATACATACTGTGTTGCTGAAAAAACTACTTTCAGTTGGATTTGGCCTTTGTCTGCACAATTTGTAAATATATTAGCCTTGTTCTGTAGCTCGTGTTTTGAGGAACTGACTTCCACACCTCCAAAAATTACAAGGAGATATTGTATCAGCCATCCTTTTTAAAGCCATAATGGCCAAAACTGAACCAAAAAGTTTAATTGGAATGAAAAGGAAGTATCAAAATGGAACCTGGAGGAAAGTATGGACACGTAGAAGAACAGTCTCCATCACAATATTCAAAACATTGCTAGAGACTACACAGAAATGAGCAATTATCTTCAAAGGATTTAATTGCATTTATTCATTGCATATTTTGATGAAAACAATTTCTTTTTTGTCTAAGTGCATTTACTGCTAAGTTTATTCATTAGAGGTTCTTTTCTTTGAAAAAGCGACATTAGAAGAAAGTATGTGCTTCATAATCTCTCTCTGTAATACTCATGGCTTTGATGCATGAATTTATCTGTAGTAAAGTGACATTTGGGACCACATTTTATATCTGTATTTGTAACCTCAATGCAATACATCATGATAGTAACCTATATCCTGACCTCGTGCTGACAACACAGATCTATGAATCTTATCTTAAATATTTTCATAGTGCATCCAAGAGTCATGCTATATGACACTGTATAGCAACTGGAATATTCCATCTAACACGTAATTTATTTTGCTGGCATTTCAAATCTTAAGACTGAGTTGTAAGTCTACAGTTCAAAGCACACTTTCTTACACATTCCAAAACAACAGTGATTAGGTCTGAAATTCAGTTGTACAATCTTAGCCCCGTTTATAACAGATGTGAAATTTACACTACAACCAAATGCCAGTTTACGTGTCGTTTTCAGTGGCCACTGCAAATGCTTCCCAAGTATAACAGTTAAGAGCCAGCTGGACATGGCTTTCTATGTCTCTTCAACAGCTAGTTAGTTATCAAACCCATCCTAACAATACACTCGATTGCTGGAGTTCAATTTTTGTCACATGCAATATGTGACTAGCGGAAGATCAGTTGAAAACTATGAAAATGAAATTTGATTAGATGATTTCTTGGCATACTTGCTCTTAGATTGCCATTAACATTTCCCAAAGTTTGTAATGGGCAGGAGCTGGTGAGGCTGGCTAGCTATTTTGCAAAACAGTTTTAAAAGATGATAAAAATAATTCCCAGAGCTACCCCACAATGAAATATTTTTTAAGAACAATACGGGTAGGTGCACAACAGCTACATTTCTGTTTGGGGGGCTCTAAAAGGCAAAGTGATAGAACTGCTGTTGTTTGGCTTGAACAATGTGGATAAAATCCAGGCAATTTTATGGCAAGTGGGAGGCTTCGATTTGGCAATGAACCAGGCCAAAGAAGCCAATAAAAGTCTGTAAGCAAAATGATGAGACACACCATCAAATGGTCTGCACTGACACAATTGAATTTGGCTTCTGACAAGTGTGCAGTTCTGGTTTGCATCTTGGCTTGCTTGTGTTGCTCATATGCAATCTGCCAGTGAGGATCCTTCGTAAAGTTCCTTTCCACCAAACCAGAAAATGTGACTAAAGTGCATATAGACTCAGGTTCCTCCAATTGTTTCAAATGTTCAGTATTTTTATTACTAGTATTGCCATCTTCACCTTGATATCATAATGAGATTTGGTGATATTCTTCATTCTGGTGATATTCTTCAATTAAAAGGCAAGAAGAGGGGTGCTTATGCCAAATATAAGTGTTGGAAGCTGTCATGAGTACCATCATGGTAATATGAAAACTCTAGATAATGTTAAAAATAGTGCATTGAAGAATATCCAATAATCATAAAAAACAGACCATGTAATCTTTGGATCTTATTGCTTGCAAATAGTTCAAAAATTATCATTATAAAAAAATTGTATCAAGTCATTTGTTATTCAGTCTTCACTGAGAACTGCTTCTGTCTTTCCTGCATCTGCAATGAATAATTGAAGAGATGGTTAAACAGCCATGCAACAAAGAAATAAACACATTCATGCACAACCCCTGAACAAAGTTAATCAGCATGAACATTTCATATGCTCTTTGATCATTTTTCTATTTTGTTGTTGCTATAGAATAGCACACATAAAATTATAAAAACACTATAGTGGAAACTGTAAGTTAAACATAGAATGTGCATTTAATTCCACTTCCAAATTTTCTTCAGAATGCTTGGGCAAAGAGAGAATTTTAATTTAAGACTGAAAAGAGTCAATTCTATCATCTTTGAGAAGATGCCGTTAAGTTCAGTGACATCACAGAAAGGATTTACTTTTGTACACATGTAACATTTCTCTGAACAAAGATACGTAGAGAAAAATTTCCTGTGAAGTTCTTGGTAAAGGCAGGAGGGTATGAAAGGCATTCTTTGGGACACTGAATTGATTGTTGTCACCAGAGGGGTTGGGGGTTATTGCTATTCATTCTTTTTATATTGGTTTTTTTAATCTTTGTACGCCACCTCAAAACACTGAGAGCTGGGTAGCCATATAAATTTTCTTAAATAAAATAAATAAATATTTGTGTTCCAGTCATTTAGACATGACATGGGCATAGAATATCCTACTGAAACTTGTTTTAATGTGTAGCTTGTATTTCCTGACTGGGCAAGGTGTTGTCTATGTAATTAATTCTGTGACATCAGAACACAATAGAATGTGTTCCTGGATTGCATGGGAGTTAAAAATAAATTCTCATACCAACTAAATTCTTGAATTTCTTTTTGGCTTCTGCTCTTTCCTCAGCATCGAAATACCACACAGTCATTGCATACCTATAAAGGGGGGAAAAATCCATGATCCATTACATTGAGACTTTATTATATCTTTGAAAATTCACAGAGCATACAATTTATTATGTATTTATTAAATTTATATTGCCGCCTGTTCGCCCATGGTGACTCAAGGTGGCTTACAGAATATAAAACCACATTTAAAACAATAAAAATAATAAAATAAATTAATACAATAATAAAATCACCCCCAACCCTAGAGACAGCAGATCACACAAGCCATTTAATGGGCTCCATCTTTGTCTGGGTTCCCCACACCTGCTGGCAGAACCAGGTCTTCAGCACCTTCTGGAAGAGTACTAGAGTGGGGACCATTCTAATCTCTGGGAGAATGATGTTCCAGAGAGAGGGAGCCACCAGGGAGAAGGCCCCTTTTCTGTGTCCCACCAGTGTATCTTCCTCGGGGATGGGACCCACAGCATTCCCCGCCTCCCCGCTCTGCTGGGTTGGGTAGATGTGACTGGTAAGAGATGGCCCTCAGATAACCTGGTCCCAAGCCATGAAGGGTTTTAAAGGTGATAACCAACACCTTGAACTGCACCCGGCATTATGTTGCTTGGTGACTTTACATGGCAATAGTTCCAAATATGAAGACAGTCAGATAGTTACTAAACTATCTTTTTCATTCTGGCACTGTCAGCTGTGCTGGAACTGCAACTCCGATTACTCCTAACCAGTAATGCAAGCCCAACCAAACTGGAGGGCACCAGTAAGTCCTCCTAAAGTACCATGTCTTGCTTGGCAATGAAAAGGGACATCATCAATTACAGATGCAATAATGCTGAAAGAGGACTTCACTATTTAATTTGGCACCACAAATAATTGTCATGGGTGCTTGTGACAAAGAAAAAAATGTCTAAATTCCAAGAAAGGCATTACTTACAATTTGACTGTATGGATCAAAACGCACCTATCAAAATTTTACCAATTTTACCAGAATTACTGGGGAAAAAAATCCCTCAAATGGTTTGTGTGTGCATGCACATGTGTATAAGTGGGTCCTTTAAATGAGGCTGAATATCTGGCACACAGAACTAGAGAACAGAAATGCCTATTGAGCCAGGAAGTTAACATTAATTTACATAACTGCATACTTTTTTTCTTTCTGTTCAGTCACGTCTGATTTTTGGACATTGCCTGGGCAAGTCCCTGCAGCTTTCCTGGCAAGGTGTTTTTGGAAGTCTTTTGCCATTGCCTCCTTCCTAGGGCTGAGATAAAGTGCCTGGTTCAAATTCACACAGTTGGCTTTGTGCCCAAGGCTGCACTAGAATAACTCTCAGTTCCTAGGCTGATGCCTTAATCACTACACCAAACTTGCTCTTGACTGCATACCATGTATATATACATAGTAAATACCAATCAGTAGATATTCAATACAGATTTAAACATGAAAAAATGTGATGATTTCCTTTTCAATATTAGAAAAATGCAAGAATAAAAGAAGACACTTCCATATCAAAAGTGTTTCTACATAATAGATACTTCATTTTCTCCAATATAATTCCCAAATTATATGACTTAACCAGAATATTGTTCCTTTCATTTAGCAAGTTTAGGAATTCACATTTCAGAAGTCTACTAGATTCACTGATCCTTCTTGAATCTGCTACCTGAAATCATTTTAATGACAATGCTGGAATTGTACATCTAGCTATATATGCAATCTCTCACTGAGCAACAGACTGCTGTCCTGTATAATTATCTTTAAAACCCACACTTAAGGTCTTTTACCTTGTTGCATAGGAAGGCTGCACTTCATGTGGGTTTCTTCGGTCTGACCAGAAAAAAAGTAATCTGTCAAAGATGGGCTCAACATCAGCTACATAGGACCTGCCCTCTGGGAATATTCGTAGAATCCCCCCATGAAGCTTAAACAGAAAGAAAACAAAAAGTTCATTTTTGATTAGATAGGATAAGCAGATCTTAAAATGGCTTATTTTGTATATGTGCATAAAAAAACAAACCAGATGAAGACCCCACTGGAAATGAATGGGGAGGATGAAGAACCCATCTGCTAATAGCAATAGCATTTAGACTTATATACCACTTTATAGCCCACTCTAAGCAGTTTCCAGCATATTGCCCCCAACAATTTGAGTCCTCATTTGACTGACCTCAGAAGGATGGAAGGCTGAGTCAACCCTTAGCTGCCCAAAACTGAACTCCTGGAATGAGCAGTGAGTTAGCTTGCAATACGCGTCACCATGGTTCATGATGAAAAATTCTCCACAACTATAGAGGCCCCTTCCTCTCATCTTCCTTCAATGGAAGAACATCATTAACCCATAATCCCAGGGCTGACCTAAGTATGTACCATTTGTGTTGCAATTCCTGAAGAGTCTTTAGATATAATATAGTCTAAACTCCTGCCACATTCTCTTTGTTCTACTATAATGGAGGACATTTTGACTGATGTGCCTGGAGACGTCTAGCACCAATTTCAATGTACCTCTGCCAGCTGAGAAGCACAGCTTCCTAAACTCATTAATCATCCTTCCAGCAGGGGGGCAGTTGCATCATTTGTGAAATATTAATGGGAATATTAATGGGTAGTAAATGAATCAGCTTGAAGCACTGATCACTTCTTTTCCCTGGTACCATGAATAGAACTAGGAATCCCAATAAATATTAGTAAATGAATGCACTTTTTAAAAAAGGGAAATCATGTCTAAGGGCATGATCATTATTCAAAATAAAGCAAGTAAAAACTAATATACAGAGAACACAATTCTTTAAAACTGCTTTTTTACTTAGCCAAATTAATGTGTTCTTTGTGTTTATTGAAAAATCTTGAAATGAATCAATATTAATGAGGTGTGTGGGGAAAACAATGCTCCTTTTCTCAAGGCTTTCTGACCCTGATTTTATCTGGTTTTCTATAAACCAGACCTGTTGTACTCCTTCTTGTTATGACAAACTTTTTGCTATCACATCCAAATGGAAAATCTGAAAATCACTTCCATTCCCCAAGCAGGAAATAAAGGACAGGTAAGAGCCTGTGCAGGTGGGTGGGCCAAACAGCAGCAGACACAGAACCAGTTCGGTGTTTGTTGCTCTTCAGAGCTACGGGTTCTATAGAGCTGGGCAGAACCGGTAGCATCCCACCCCTGGTTGAGGGGAATCTTAAACCTGATATAGTTACATGTTTATTTCAGATTATGCCAAAAGCACTTTTGCCAAAATATTAACATTTCAAATGTAATTATCCCCTTTTTTCTATTTAAAACTTTCTCAGATCAAAATCTTGTTAAGTTTTGTGCTATTATGTTTGCTGTTACGTTCAAACTCCTAGACTATTATTTTTCTCCTTTCTTTTTCTTAATCCAGAAGTGTTTCCTTTTCTTTCCTGCTGTTCCAAAAATGTTTCTTTAACTTTCAGATTGTTGTATCCAAATGTATTTAAGAAAGTGAGGTTTCAGTCAAACCCAGGGTCCTTAAAGGCTCCACTGTGGCTATGAGCTAGATTTCTCTCTCTCATTTCCCAGCCGCTCAACTCATGAGTTGACCACAAGGATCTTCAAATCCTATGGATGTCTCCGGAGGAGTGCAGATGGACAATCTCTAGGTTACTCCTTATCTGGAGAGGGCCTACTGGCCTGGACTAGTTGATTGGCCACAGGTAACACTATAAGAGTCTTCGCTCCTTCAGAGATGTCCTAGTTTGCCATAGTCTTCACCCAGAAGCTTGATGGGCCCAGACTTAATATAGCACTACTGTAACACAACTCTTTGCATGCCATTTGACAGTGAGGTTTTGCAGCCAGATTGTTATTATAATGAAATTTACATTTTTCTTATCCAGATGGCATCTGTGGTCTTTTTATGACAAGTAAGCATTGGCTTACCACCAAATATATATTTATCAGGGGGCTGTAGTTAAAGAGTTCTTCCAGCATGCTTATTACATTGACATTAATATATACAGAGTTTTAAAATATATAAATAATTTTCTTTACTACTTGGATGCCTCCAAATTATAAGAAATGTCCCTATGTCATCTATTCATTTTGGTGTGTTTTTGAGAGAAAACAAAAGGATTGTTTTTATTTTCCACTCTGAGAAAAGTCTATGGGATCTCAGTATCATATTAAAAAGTAATGCTCAAGTATTCCTAGGCATCCACAAGAGCTGGACATGGTTTGAAGTGGGCAATCTTCTAGATTCAAGGCTTTGTGTAGCTGAAAACCGATGCTTTTGACAGTTAGCAAACCTAAAGGCAGAACGTCAACTTGCTTTTCTTTAAGTATATCACAGCAAACAGCCTCTAAGCTCCCCTACACATGTGTTAGCAAACACAAAGCTTTTTATGAGGCCAAGGCATGGCAAACAGAGGGAGAAGTTTTCATGATCTTACACTGTACATAGAGCAAAATCAAACAAGTGTTCTTTTTCAAAGGCTGCTTTATATGGGACAAAAACAAGATGACCACAACTGAACTTGCCAATCTTCAGTTAAACTACCTCAGTTGTCGGAATCCATTCATTCCTTTACAGGCACCCATTTGTTTTCAAACTAAATCCCTTTTATCTGTATCTTTAAATAGTGACAGTCACGCCAGTGGCTCAAAAATTCTAAGCTGCCCCCATCTTCAATAAGCTGTCTATCCAATTGAAATTAAAAAATGCAACCATGAAATGGATTTATCTTCACATTTCAGCTACTCAGAAGCAATGGTGTTGTTGTATTCAAAAATTTCACAGTACTTCATAAAAAATGGAAGAGCAAGAAAACAGGTAGGTGGAGAAGTATTTTTTCTGCAGTAGGTTCCTTTTGAGTCTGCATCTCAGCAACATATGAGGAGCTACATACCTTTGAATCCCAGTTTTTGTTCAGGTAATAAATGCAGGTGATACATCGCCCATCTCCATTGGGATTGTCCACATGACGCACATAGCCAGTTCCATTCCCAGGATAGCAAGCTACCATAGCCTGGAAGGTGATATAAGAAGAGAAAGAAAGATGCTTAGTATTTTTTCCTAGTTTGGCAGTTTTTAAAATTTCTCTATTTGCTTTTCAGATACAAATCAAAATACAATTTTAAACTATGTGTCTTACAACTGAAAAGTTGTAGATGCTGTTAAGTTTAGTCAGGCATATTATAGTCTTCAAAGTAATTCTACTCCTACAGAACAGTACTTTTAAGGAGGAATGCTCCTAGTAAAGATTATATTAAATCTTCTTTGAACTGAATCCTTAGCAAATGTAGGCTGGAAATCAGAAGCTAATATTAACAGTAAAGGAATTGTGGAGGCTATGAATAATTTTTAAAATGCAGCAGGGCTTTGCTTTATTTTAGTGATTTATTTGATCAATTTATATGCTGCTCATCTTGCAGCTTAGCAACTCTGTTTAAGAATAGTTGTCCACCACAATTCTGAAATGAAACAATTAAAATATAAGTGAGCACACTATAAGGGCAAACGGTTGGAATATGATCTTAAGGTCCATTCCATTCCTACTGGAAATACATGTAGTATATCTACAAATGTCTTCCGTCTACCACAAACATGAGTATCTTTACAGTTATGGTTTTGAATCTGAGTGAAATAGCCTTCCCTATACTAGTTATCTTTCCTGGGCATTTCTACATTTATTTCAGATTTAAATTATTTTGCAGAAAAGACTGTATCTCACTAAAGTGTCCTGCCTCAACTGGGTACCTTTGAAATGTGTTGGTATTACAGTTCCTGTAATTGTAACCCTAATCAGTCCCTACACTTTTGGAAATTAGTTGAACAGGAAAGCAAGTACTAGTAAACTTTGCTGAGCAAGCTTTGGTAAAATGAATGGTAAATAGCAAGCAGAATAGCTTTCCTTTCACTGAAGCTGTACAAGAGAACTTGTGCTTTAAAGAAGTATCCTTAAGTTTATAGAAGCGTGAATACCACTTTTTTCAGGTACCATAGCTCAGACTTTCTCTCTATATTCCCACTAAATCAACATAATAACACAATCCATTTTCCATCCCTTAGGATGTTTATATCTAATGCCTTGATGAAAGTAAAATTTAGATATTGTGTACAGTTGTTTCATTTTTTGTGTGTAAAAAGTTTTTTATTTTTATCTTTTACAAACATCTTTTAGTAAATAATGTGGTTTCAGGTTTTTACATTTCCATACGAACATGACCATAATTACATATTTAACTTTCATATTCAGTTTCTTATCATATCATTACATTTTCCATTTTCTGTAAATTTTCACAAATATTCTTATATTTTTCCACACTTATTTTATCCATTTTCAATTGATATCTTAACTTATTCCATTTTTCTTGAATTATACTCATATCTGTTTAATATAATATCTTAAAATTCTTATTTTGTAATCTATGTTTATTATGCTTTTATACTTTTGTGTCATATTTGCAATTTCATTGCATACTCTTGTTTCATTATTCAATAAATTCCATCTTAATTTAATCATTCCAAACATTTCCCCCTCAATTGCCCATTTGAGTGCACCACCCTTTTGTCTAATACATCATTCAGTTTACTCTCCTTTAACTCATATTAAAAATTCCCATAATATAATCATTTTTAGCTATCACTTAAACACTACATTTCACATATACATTTTAGGTTAGATTCCACATGGTATTCTTTCCTTTACTCATTTATTATTTCATATATATCGATCTTTTCATCTAATTGTAGAAACTATCTTTTTAGTACAATTCTCATAATTCATTTTAGGTATATTCTTAATTTCATTTAAGTAATTTCATTTAATTAACATTCTTATAATAGTTTCCCACTTTTACATTTATTCCAAATATATCTATATATAGTTTAACCATCATTCTTAAAAAATAATTAGATAGAAAAAAAAACATCAGTTCCAATTATTCCATTTTTTAAAAAAATCTGTTTTTATACCTTGCTATACATTACCTTACAGAATCCCCTTTCTTATTCTTTATCTACCTATTATCTCTAGGTCTTCCTGCTATGTAGCTTCTTTTCATTTTTTTTTTGGCTTTCTATCTCCCTTCTTTTCTGGTCCTTTCCCTTATTCCCCCTTTCCTTTATTTTTTCCCCTCCATTTCTAGCTCCAATTTTTCTCCCCTGCCTTCTTTTGAGCTTTCTCCTGTAATTCCCTTTTTTGCTGTTTCCTCTTTTTTTTTTGTTTGACTTTCCAAACAATTACCTCTTTAATTGTCCCCTCAAACCTCCAAGTTTTAATTTCCATGCTTTCCCCTCCCTTGTTTTAATGTTCATTGCCGCATTTGTTCATCGCGGCTGGCCTCCTCTTTAATCAACTCCTCCCCTTCTGAATCTCCTTGTTCTTCGTTCTCCAGCGTCACCATTTCTAATATTTTCAAGGCAATGCTGCACAGTTCCACTCTTTCAGATATCATTTCCCTTATACTTAAGTACAATTTTATTTCTAAACAAATTTCTGCTATTTTTGTGCACTTCTTTCAATTTTAGTTTTTCTTTTATTTATTTCTTCAGTATTTAAGTCCCGTCTGGTTGTCCAGTGGTTTATTTAAACCAGCTTCTAGCCATCCACTTCTGTTAAACCCTGTTTCAATTTTCCAGGGTCAAAATAGTCCAATGTTTATATATTTTTATTATTAAGTTCCTTTTGTTGGGTTTTGAATTTTTCTCAAAGTCACCTAGTATTCCCAGGGTTTCACTTTTCAGAGTTTCTATCTTATTTATCAAAGTTCCTCTTACTTTGTATCAAGTTCCAACTTTTAGAGAACCAAACACTTTTTAAAGAGTCACTGAAATTTTTCCTTTACCATCTCTGTTATGTCCAAGTTCCACCTTTTCTTTTCACTTTCCCCTTTAAGGCTTTTAATTTTCAACAATCCAGTAAGTCCAATTGTTAAGTATTATTTATTTTTGGCACATTCAAGTTCAGCTTTTAATTATGCCTGTTTAGTGCCAATATTATATAATTTAATATAATCCAATTTAAGCAGATATTTTCTTCTAGCTTCCTCTTTCAATTTAACTCTTTAAAGTTCAACTTATGTTCAATTTTTTTCCCCACTCCCTCTGGTCCCTGTTTTTCCAATCTTTCTTACAAGTCTCTTTAAACTTTAAATCCGGGGTACTTTATATTGCACCTGGTTTACCTGTCTCTACACTGTCTGCTTCTTCACCGCCCCTGCACAATCTTTGTCCCAGATAGCTCTTCATCTTTAGGGTGGCCGTATTTAGCCATCGCTGCAGCCCATCTTTGGGGGAGTTTACCTAGCCAGGGAGGGGAGATGCGGTTCCCCTCAGCCTGACAGGTGGTCCCCCCCTTCTTCCCCACCCTCCAAAGTGGTTCTAGCCCCTTTCGGAGCCCTTTAATGGGAACAGCACGGATCGAAGCCGCACATGATTGCAGTCTTCGGTCCATCATTGATGAAAATGCCAGTGGAAGTCTGATGTTTCATTTCTTGATTATATAGGACTGTAAGGACCTCCCTGTCAAGGCTTAAACCACAGAATTAGCCAAACGTGTTTCAGAAGTAATAGCTTATTTTAATATTTTCATGCCTGCTAATGTAACCATCCTCATTTCGTGGAATTAATCAGAAGACCAAAGATGGAGCCACCCTCCTTAAGGGACTGCTACAGAGGATATGAGTGAAAGCATATTTAGTACTAGTTATGGAGGAAATGAGTTCTTCACAGTACTCATTTATTTTGCTTTTTTTAAAACACAACTAGAACCATGTCAGAGGCCTAAGGCTGCCATTCCTGATTATAGTAATCACCACCATTACCATTTAATGGAACCCAAAGCTCTATGGCCCGAGGAGGCAGATTTTAGTAGTCACAGCAGCATATTCCTCAACTCATTTTTCTCTTAGAGACAAATGGCATTACAGCATAAAACCACAGTTTGATGACAAGGCTGTGACAAAAGCTATATTTGGTGGGTCAGCAAAGCGATCATCACTCACAATGGCTTGGGATTACTAGAATTGAATGTCTACACCTCTGTAGGGCAACAAACTAGGGAAGATCCCATTCTTTCTTCCCCCTTCCAAAGAAAATCCCCTCAAAGTGCTAGTTAGGCATTTTAAAAATATTTCCTTAGTGACCACCAAAGGCCATTTTACATTGCAAAGAAAGACAAAAAAAAACTTACTTCAACAAATCATCTGTCATATCCATTTCAGAAATCTAGACTTAATGTGGTTTTTCTTTTTTCTTTTTTAATAAAAGTGCACTTTTTCATGGAAAGGAAGACAAAATTGTCAGCTCTTAGAATTTAAAAATGGAAAGAAAGATTATTCATTGTCTGCTTCACATCTTTTTTACTCACAAGAACTTCAATCCACCATTTACCACATGCACATTTCCCCAAATTAATACATACTTGGTTCTGTAAATTTTCACTGATCCAAATATTTATTGAAAGACAAAGCTTCTAGTCACTTTTCTTCTAACCTCACAACCAATTGTAAACATGTGTGTGAGCAGGGTAAATAAAAATTGGTAAGTTTTTTTTTAAAAATTAAAAAATGAGATTTTTTTTATTTAAATCAGTTTTTTTTTTATCAAATTTATTTGAATAAAATGCTTTTGGAGTAAAAATCTATCTAGAGGGTTTTCTATTTAAGATACATTAATAATTTAGTTTATTCAGCATGAAATGGAGCTTAGATATGTAGCATGAGGCTGTATATTCTGCAATATTGGGACTGTCGGTGAGTCAACAGTAGGTCACAGAAGGAGCTGCTGCAGGACAGAGATGACAGTTGCTCTTTAAAAATTATGATTTAAATCAAGCCTTTTTACTAGTAATTTAAATCATGATTTAAATCAAGTCCACCCTGTGTTAGTTAAGATTTGGATGCAATATGCAACTTGGGCAAAGGTTAATTCAGAAAGGAAACCTATAAATAAGAGCTACCTGTTTTAAGGCAGGGATTGGTCCTACTAGAATATGTAAGATTTTGTTCTTTCTGAAAATGATGC